CCCCTCCCCCCCTCCCCTCTCATGGATGAGAAAAAGGACCGTCAGTTGGCTTCAGAAAGGATGACTCATTTTCCTCCAGACAGCCGTGGGGGGGGGATAATTATACTGTAAGCCGTTATTGTTTGAAAACGTGGATAAAAGACACAATATTTAAGCTCTATGTTAAAAAAAGTGTTCTCCAATCCGTGGTTTAAATTGAGAGCAAAGCTGTTACTCTATAACCCCATTATGTTTAAATGAACTGATTCATTAATTTATGAGTGCCATTCAATTATTAGCAATACTCGTTTAACCTCTATTGTACGGTTTATTTCACTTACAACAGATTTTGAAATTAAGGAAATTATATTTAAATCCTACTTTGTGAAAAATATAGTGTCAAAAATAGGAAATCTCGCTAATGGTTTTGCTGCTTTAAAAATTAGTGAGATGACGGTAGTCAACCTTTGAAACCTCGTCAGTGAGTGCACTTCAACGAATTCAATTCTTATGCCTTGGAAGCTAACACCAGCTGCATTCACCTCCTTGTGGTATGAAAATTACTCCCAAATGAAGAAACCTTATTATTCAAGGAGAGAATTGCCTTCACCTCAGAAAAAATGCTCAACCTTTTAACGTCCGAATAATTTTTTTCTGAAAAATGCACCCAATAGCACTCACGCGTGTCACACAGCAGCAGACTGATGCCCGCCGACGTGAGGGCATTTTGGTGACGTATCAGGCGAAGGCGGCTATAGACACTTACTGAGCATCGATCAAACAGCCATAGCGCGCCTCCTGTTACGAAACTAGAACCAAATGGAGCTTATTAAGAAAGAGCACCGTACGGTCCTACAGGGCGTTAAAGGGTTAAAAATTGATTTGAAAGCTGACATCATTCATTCCAAAAATAATTGTTTTTTTTTATTTGCAAATTTAGTTCTTTCAATTAAGGCACAGCAAGTTTATGCGCACCGTGTAATGTGGCATGAGATTACCCCTATGCCCTTAGGCCTAAGAGGAAAGGACAAGCTAAAGTGTCAAAGGTGACTGTGATAATTAACCAACCTCTCAATGAGTGTTGGATTTTCCATGATTAAAATGTACCAAATGCCTTGCCCCTATTATCATACAGCAGCATTGGAAAACAATTGCCGAAACCCGTTCTTGAAAGAAATTTTAGCTGGTTTAGTGAAACGGTGGTTTTTTGAAGTGTTAGATTGTACTAAAGAGAACAAAGATACAATCAGGGAGAAGAGTGTGCAAAGAAACACCTCTTTGTAGACTTCTATAAAACTCGGCGTTTTGGAAGAAGTGCATGCGAACGAGCTGGTGATATCGGATTTTATGGAAGAGTTTGAAAAAAACGCGACCTAGAATACGCGAGGATCATTTATTCTGGTGGAAAATTTGGTAAAAATTTGAAATATACCCTCGATCGGTTTAAAAGAAGAGAATTGCGGACAAATTTCAAATAAAAGCTCTTGTGATGCGCGCTCATGTTATTTCCATTTAATTAAAATTTAACATTAATTTAGTTGGTCAATTTCAAAATTAGCATTGACATCATAATCATCAGGCCCCTGGAGTGTTGAAGGCAGAGAGTGTTGGAGATCTTGGGACGATGATGGAAATGCCGTCTCGCAAGCTAATTGGTCCAGCACATTTGGGTGACTCTGCAGGTCACTGGAAAATGGGTGATTCAATATTTTTCCTTGTTAATTACTCAAATACTTCAATAAACTGAAAATCGATTACTGTTTAAATGTGAATTTTCAGAGAATAAAGCATTTTGGGTAATTAAATATACTACCAACTAGATTTGACTAAATATTTATTTGATTGACAGACGTGAAAGAGTCAGACAGACATAAAGGCAGAGAAAAGGCAAGATGAGTACTGTGGGAGTGGTGGAATATGACATACAGTGGGGTCATGGTCGTTTGAAGTGAGAAGTTAACTTCCGGTTAATAGACTTTTTTGCCGTATGAGTTTACGTTTCCTAGAATGCACCACATGGAGGTAAGTCTATCGCACACCCCAATTCAACTTAATATACACCCCCAGGAACTCAAACTGCCACATTAATGTGCTCGAAAACGAATTAAGCTACTTTCATTGATTTGGAAATGACTGGCTTGACTAAGCCCTCATTCCTAAAACAGTCAAAATACCGATTTCTATCTTTAAAAGTGCTCATATACAACTCAAGGACATTCCAGAGCATCGAATGATGGTCGAAGCCAGCAGATAAGAAAACAGAGTTCTTGCAATACCCTATAACATCCGCTGTCTAGTTTCCGTTCCATTTGGGTACTTATCAAAATTGAGAAAAGTTGCAATAGCACAGATACCAATACCATTTCCAAAGTTGATATCAGATTCCACGCCAATTTCTTTAAGATACCACTTACCCAAGCATTAACACATATTCGAATCGTATGAACCTCGTCTCCATAACCTTTCATCAAACCACTTCCTCTCGCATGGATTTGCTTTTAGAAAATTACTGTTCGCAATATCTCTAAAGTGTGTATTTTTGGTATATAAATAGATAAGAGGCGCAATTTCTAAGTTCTAACGCGTTTAAAATCACAAAATCGGTACTCATCGATACAGATTCTGTGATATATGGCAAATTATTATGATTTTAGAAATTGGCTCTTTTAATGAAGTCAAATGCGATAGACTTACCTCCACATGGTGCATCCTGGGCAACGTATACTCATACGGCAAAAAAAGTCTATAAACCGGCAGTTGACTTCTCACTTCAAACTACCATGACTCCCCTGTATGCCATAGTCAACCACTTCCACAGTACTCATCTTACACTTTATCTGTCTTTGTGTCTGCCTGTCTCTTACATCCGTGAATCATTATTCTGTCCCCCATCTCGACTTTTTGTCACTTTGATGTTCCTCCTCCCCTCTGTGAAGCCCTAAGTCAGCTAAAGGGCTAATGATAACTATCGAAACGCCTCCCATCTGATATAAATAAATGAAGTCACGGGCCGTAACTTGTAATGATTATAAACCATGACACTTTCAAAACTTTCAATGAGATTTTATTCTATGAAACAAATTGGATCAATGATTCCTTCAATTTAACGAGTAGTTTTAAGTATTTAAAAAAAATTTAACTGAAAGACGGTTTCAAGTAGGAATTTGTTGAAAGAGAATGCAACGGGTCTCACCACCTTCTTTGTGCTTTAAAACACAAAGGCTTTTTATCAATTGAGTTTTATTTCCTAGATTTTCGGTGTAACAAAAGTCACTGGAAGCAATGACTTCCTGTTATGAAATAAGTTGGAAATTTTGACTGCAGCCGATCGCTTTGGTTATCTCCTTCCAAGACCCAAACCATTCTACTTCTCTGAACAAATTAAACTCGAGAAGAAATGTGGCGAAAATGTCCGCACTTAATGTCCCACTTCCAAGAAGGCATTCCAAATTTCTCACGAATTGTCTCGTTTTCCGATGAACAAGTACACGTGGACGCCCATCCAACCGCAGTAATGTTGAAATCAACCAATCAGAGTTGAAGCCACCTTTTTGTTCCCGCTATTTAAATGACAAATCAAGGAGGAGCGAAGCGAGCGCTTAATATCACATTGTTAAAAATGAAGCCACTTTTATGTATTCTAGCCGTCTCTATTCTACTGCTGGGCACTGCGTCAAAAAGTATAATTTCAGATTTATTTCCTTTCTAACCTCCCTCCCCTCCCTCTAATTATAGACTCAGTGCGAATAAGCAGACCGAATGTGAAAAAGGATGATTGGAGGAACTTTTTAAGCCTTGTGGAGCGAGTTCTGTTGATAAATGAGACATATGAGGTGAAATCGCAGCCTGACTTCCTCTCCTTCAAATTGGACGCAGTGCATCCGGTGCGGCTTCAGGAGTGTCAAAACTTCATTGTCCCTAACGCCAACTGTCCGTCCAGAGGCAGCATGCACATCAAATGCCGATTCACCTCCCGACTTTTCTACGCCCAGCTCATTCAACTTGTAAGTACCTCGATAAATATATATATATATATATATATATATATATATATATACTAACTGAAGTCTTTTATGCGAATTTCACTCAAAAACACACTAATTCTAAGTAGAATTCGTTTAAGGGACTCTGTTTAATCCGAAATAGATACTTATTGCAAAATTTAAGCCGCATTAAAACGGGAATAGGGGAGAAGGCGCAATATTGTCATTGTCATATTGTTATTGCTTTCATGACATCGACATTAGGGAGCCTTCATGACATTTCGATTTAAGTCGCGAATTCTAGCGAGTGTAAGCCCGAGAGGGTGCTGGTTTCCATGGGGCGAACGAATCTGATCCACTGCACACTAAAACAGCCCTGATTTGCTTGAAAGCTACCTCCCTGAGTTGCTTTGATAATCATTGTCATTGTTTACTTATTGCTATGCGCTAATATTATTGGGTATTTTCAAATGTGTCATGATTTAATTTCGTCTGACTAAATACTACCTACATAATACATTTTTTGTAAATTCAACTATTTCATATTTTTGTCGCCTAAAAATTAGATACAGTTCGAAAGTAATAAATGGATATTTTAAATTTAAAAAATATTTTTCTCAACGAAGAGTTATGACTTTTGATGGTCAGTAGGCATTTTTATAAGTAAAATAATAGCTGTACCATTTAAGAAGCTAAAGCGATGCTTCTAAAATTTCATTTCTCTTAACTTTTTTTAGCCCAAAATCAGAACTTACATCTTTGAAATACCAATAGGGAAACAAATTTCTTTCGTAAATTAAGTTAAAAAGACGTTTTTTTTCCTACTTAAACACGTCATTGAGATCTTATTCAAATAAATTTGTTAAAAGAAAATAAGAATGGAATTTATTTAGGTGTTTTGGCACCAATAAAACTTTTTCCATTTCTTCTCCTTTAACAACAGCGACCACTGGATTGGGGAAAATTCCAGATAAAATTGGAGAATAGGGAGAGGATTTCCTATCACTACATAGAGGGCTACTTTGAAGGTGCCATGGCGAGCTGTTGCCAGGCCACCATGAAAGGAGAGCCCCTCATCTTCCCCTACATCTCCAAGGTCAGCGTCGACCAGGTTTCCAGATGCACAATGACTCAGGATTCGAATCTTCGACTACCAGGTAGCATCGAACCAAATGGTCTTAAAAACTACCTTCGTGGTCTTCTGAACTCCTACTTCAAGATTTATCTAACGGAGCACTTATATGAACCGCCTTGTTAACGATACAACCCCAGTCCTCGCTTTCACACCCCCTCCCCCCACCATAGAGCTTTTGAATGAACCGTCTCGCAACTAACTAACAATCCCA